TCCAGTACCTTTCATCTGAAGCCTAAATATGACATAGCAGGTCCCCAACTTTCTAGACCTGATTTGGGGCACAAAAAAAGGAAAGGGAAAGGGTTAGATTATTCCATTAGGAGCTGTATTTTAGACACATACCGATAGATACATACCGATCGTGCTCCTTTAACAATTCCTTGTGCATAAATTGGACTGTAAATAGTAAGGGTAAAGTTTAGACATCCAAGATTAAAATTTACTCTTAATATTTACAATCCAACTTTAAAAGCATCATTAGTACAAAAGCACAGTGATGCAATATTAATGGCAATTTGACTGCTTGCCCTGCCATATTTCAAAGGATTGTTTCAAAATTCAGTAGTGTCAATAGAGAGCAGCTATCAGTATTCTAGAATGCATTTATCTGGAAATAGGTTTTAGTGAACTCAGGTGGGATTACTTCTGAGTAGACCCAGCTTTGTAAATTAATGTTATCAATTACTATGAGCTATAAACTCGAGCTAACATGAGGATTTTAGTGTTTACAATTTCAGTGTTTACAATTAGTCCTCAACTTATGACCTCAATTGAACCCAACATTTCTGCTGCTATGTGAAACATTTGTTAAGTGAATTTTGCCCCATTTTACGACCTTTCTTATTACAGTTGTGAAGGGAATCGCTGCAGTTGTTAAGTTAGTATCATGGTTGTGAAGGGAACATGCCCTCCCCTTGACTTTGCTTGTCAGAAGGTCGCAAAAGGGGATCATGTGACCCTGGGATGCAGCAACCATCATAAATATGAAGTGGTTGCCAAGCATCCAAATTTTAACCACGTGATTATGGGGATGCGGCAATGGTTGTAAGTGTGAAAAATGGTCATAAGTCATTTTTCTTCAGTGCTGTTGAAATTTTGAACGGTCAATAAATGTACAGTTGTAAGTCAAGGACTACCTGTGCACTGTGAGTTTTTCTCCTTCCTTCCTTCTTGTGTAATAGTTGTTCCTTGATACCAGAATTACTGTGTCTAATGCAAGGCGGGTAGTCCAATTGAGACACCTGGTTATTGAGTGAAGCAGTCACTAAGTGAAATCTTGACTGTGCTTATGATCTTACTTTAGCATTCCTTTGCTTTACAGACCTGTGAAGGTCATAAATGTAGGACAGTGTTTCTGAACCCTGGCAAATTGAAGGGGTGTGGACTTCAACTTCCAGAATTCAAATCCTGTGGAATTCTGGGAGTTGAAGTCTACATATCTTCAAGTTGATAAGGTTGAGAAACACTGATACAGGGAGTAGCCATAACATTACTTTTTCATCATCAACATCATCATAACTTCAAATGGCCGCTAAACAATGCAGCCAATGCAGCCATTAAATGATGAGCACCTGTATCTTAATCTAAAATAGGCAAATTAGAGCCTGGGCTATCATCCAAATCACGACTTGAAGTTGATTAGCAAAAAATAAATATTACTCTTGTTAATCAAAATCTGTACTAGTCCGATGACTAGGCAAAATATGGATAGAACTGTTTCAAAAAAAGAAGGAAGGTATATGCAAAATGGAATGAGATTATATACACTCAGGATACATTTGCAGGATAGAGAAACAAACCAATCATGCAGATTGCTTATAATTTTAAAAAAGAGTATGGCCAAGGCTTCTGCAGGTCACAATTTCTCATTTAATAAACCACTGAAATAATATAGAGATTAGACATTAGCTGCAAGACTGCAGATATATTAGACTTTCCTCAGTGCATCGATGTGTAACTCAGTCTTGATCCGAACTGCATCGCTGGCAAAAGGATTTATCAAACCTAAACACTTTGGTCCATAAAATTATATTTCATCTCATAATTATGAAGTTTAGCATTTCACTGGAGAGTTAATGTTTTTCATCATGAAGTTATTCATTCTTAGAAAGCAATGAAAAAAACAGTCAAGCTAACATAAAGCCTCAAACCAATCCAAAATCCACTTTTCTCTCCTACATGTATTTATTCAAGGTAAGCTTTCATTGGGGTAAATTCCTAGTCAATATGCACTGGATTATAACCACTAGAAAAATATAGCACACAAGAAATTCTCCAGAAGTTTTATTCTACATTTTTGCTTGTTCTCTGTAAAATGGTCATAAATATGTCCATAAAACATGAGTCCAGCTGGTCTGGCTTAATGTTTCTTGGGTGTATTCTGGAAGCGTTTAATGCAGCACAGGAGTAGCTCCCTTTGAACAAAATAGATCTTACATCTGAGAAAAGTCTAAAACTACACTCTGTTTCACTGTTAGCAAGTCAAGGGCACAAAAATTTCTTTAAATTTTTGCCACCAAGACTAGAATAGTGTGGCTAGTTCCTTTACAGATCTTGGGCACACATACCTTTTTTAGACTGCTACTTGCTTTTCTCCCCCTTTCCGGATATTCATGCAATAGGGTGGGTTTTTTTCCCCCCTCTTCATTATTGTCACTAGCCTTCCCATTCACCCCCAAAGAATGCTGAGTAATTAAATGACTCAATCTGCATATCCAATTAGATTTATACAGCAATAAGTTTCGTGGAATGAAATTGAATTCACTTTTGAGGAGAAATGTTTACAATTAGGTTGCAAACCTCTTAAGTAAAACAACAAGAGTAATGATTCCTTCCGTTTAACCTCTCGCCTGCCAGAATCAACACTAGGAGTCTGGTTACAGATGCTATCCAACTTGAGCAACAGCAAATCCGTTTGAACTTCCACCACATGAATACACTTAAGACCGTGTGGATTTGCTGCCCTCAAAAGCTTCGAGAGCATCACAACAGATCTACTCCTTTCCACAGCCCTACAAGATTCATTTGGCAAATTTTCTACACACACACACACACACACACACACACACACACACACACAGCCCTAAAAGATCCGTCTCTAAGGTGTTGAGTCTTTCAGCTCAGAAAAAAAAATGAACCACCATGGCAAACCTCCCTGCCCATTTGCAGAGTTACAACTCCGCCAATAACTCCTTTGCACAACATTTAAAACAAAATCGGATTTATGTGAGCTTTCCTGAGGGAAAAATCATTACCAACTAACAACCTTCCTGCAGGATGATATTCAAGAGGGGAGAAGGAGGGAAATGGGGAAGAAGTTCAACCGATTTCCTTCATCTGCCTTCTTGAAATTAATCAAGCAAACAAAAGCTATTTGCCTAGCATCTAACTCTCCGACGGCCAAGGGTCAAATTGTCCCGACATCCAAACAACTTTGAAAGTCAAGCCCGGCGGTCTGGCAAAGAAAGAAAGGCGGCATCCCCCACCTGGGGCGAATAATGGACAGGTCAAGGATGGAAAAGCCGCCCGGGCTTCATCGGGGCATTGCAAGAAAACTCTTCTGTAGAGATTCTCAGTCATCCAGGTTCACGCTTGTCCCAAAGGTGCTTTTTTTTTTTCTCCCCTCCTGGAGGCAACGAAAGGCAAGGAAAGCCTAGTTGTCTCCAGGAAAAAAAAAAAAAAAGCCCCTTTCGGACCAGAAAACTCTTCCCGCCGCCCTCACCCAACTCTCTTCTCCCACTCGCGGGAGCGCCCGCAAACTCGCCGCCCTGACCCCGGAGCTGAAAAGGAGCCCCGGAGCAGGGAGAAGGCGTTGATTTCTCCCCTTGCAAAACTCTTCGGTGCTCCGAGCCGCGAGAAAATCACGGGGGTGGGGGGCAGCCCCGACCTCCTCACCCGGGGGCCAAGCGCTCTCACCTCAGCTGGGCGAGGAAGCGCATCCCTCCAACACACAAAACCCTCACCCACCCCCGATCCTCTCTCTAAGCGCCCACCCCTCGTTTGAATTAAGGCCGAATAAAGTTTAATCGGCCGGGGTTTCTGGAAATTTAATAATAATAATAATAATAATAATAATAATAATAATAATAATAATA